GATTTTGGTTATTCCTTGGTTTTGGTTATTATACAGGTTTTGGTTATTCCTTGGTTTTGGTTATTATACAGGTTTTGGTTATTCCTTGGTTTTGGTTATTCCTTGGTTTTGGTTATTCCTTGGTTTTGGTTATTCATTGGTTTTGGATATTTCAAGTTTTAATCCATTCTGTCAAAGTCATAGCTTAGAGCTATACAGCTTATTTAATTGCTTTGTTACAAAACACTTTGACAAAAAGCAGTGTCACAAAGGATTTTTGAGGGATAACGCAGGTTCAAAATCTTTTGTAATACAGATACCATAGCCAACTGAAAAGAGATGATGATAATGACTGAATATATTAAACAGTACACAGCCAATCTACAACAGTACCATATATATATATATACGGTACCATTTTGGCTATGGCACGTTAGGTGCCATAAAAATGGTATCTTACTGTACTACACTAAAACAGTACTGTACAGTTCCATGAATACTGTACGGCATACTCTAAATATACTGTACGGTACCATGATTTCACAGAGTGTGGATTGGGGGTGTAAATGACATTATATGAGTCTTCCAAGAATCTGTTATGGTATACGATTGTGGAAAGAAAATGGATACTTCTTCACTGATATTGATTTTTATGATATTTGATTTTAGAAAGATTGGAGGAAATCATGTTGAAAGTCAAAATAGATGACAATTTTGTCAGATAACTTCAATAAAACTCATCAGTTACCAATCCAACATTGAACTTGTTCACTCTTAATAATTTTTTTTACAAAGTGCTATTGTTGTTGTCTGTTGCTGTGGGGCGTGCAGGCCCGTAAGCAGGGGGGGGGGGGGGTTTGCAGGGTTCGGGCAAACCCCCCCTGGTCAAAAATTCTGTCAAAATCATGCAGTTTTTCACCTTTTTGAGCACTTCTCAAGTGATTTTAGCCATAATTGGGTCAAAATTGTCAAATGTGAACCTACCCTGGAAATTTTTGAAAACTGAACCCCCCTTGGCAAATCCTGGCTATCTTGGTAGGTGGGTGAGCGGGCTTCACATAAATCTTGTCATCAAAATTTAAGACACTGCTCAGGCCCTTAGCCAGGATTTGCCAAAGGGGGGTTCAGTTTTCAAAAATTTCCAGGGGGGTTCACAACTTCACATTTGACAATTTTGGCCCAAATATGGCTAAAATCACTTGAGAAGTGTTCAAAATTTCTTATTTCTGTTCTTGAAATTCTTACAGATGCATGAGTTGAATATTGCCAATTAAGAGTTGAATAAGTTTTAAACATTCTCGGTGGATTTCATGGTGCCCATTTTGCTCTTTAAAATCACTGTTTTTCTTGTTGCATCTAAATCAGCAGTGATTGTTCCAAATGTTTTCTCTGCCACATAGAGTCTTTGGGCCTCTCTACTCTTGTCTTCACCATGTGAATGTGAAATACATGGGGGGGGGGGGGGGGGGTTACCACTCTGTTTTATACAACACTGGACATTTATATGGAGGAAGTTAATGATTCAGGTGTATTGACCATGATTACAATGACTTAGGCCATCATATGAGAAATTAGTAATGACGAAGGTTGCAGTGATTACGACAATAATACAGAGGTTCTAGCCAGATAATAGATATTTATTAAGCATTTCAAAGTCGTGATCAAAATATAATGGTGTTCGCCCATGGGGATTTATCTACAGATTGATTCAAGTGGAAAACCTTAAAAAGGCCTTGTGGTATAAAAGGGCCTTGGTATGATCAATAGGGCCTTTGTGATTGCTATACTTTTCTCCTTGGATATTATGTTTTGATAAACACCAGATTGCCACAAGTCTTGCATCAAGCCCCCGTATTTCCCCTGAGTTGCAGAGAATGGGGTGAGGGAATATAGAGCCTCGATACAAGACTACAGCATGCTAAAAAGGAAGAAATCTTATTTTGCCTCAAGTCACCTGATGGTTTAGCACTTCATTCAAAGCAAAGAACAAACACAATGGCTCATCAATCCAAATACGTTAATGCTAAAATAATATTAAACCTAAACAAGTTGTGGGAAATTGAACATTTGCACTGATCACTCCAAATCAATAAATACGGTTTTTATGTCCCCACCACATAGTGTGGGGCCATATTGTCGGCCTAGGCGCGTCCGTCCGTCCGTCTGTCTGTCTGTCTGTTTGTCTGTCTGTCCGTCCGTCCGTACGTCCGTACGTCCGGCAGTTTTCTCCTAAACCGCTACAGATATCACCTTCAAATTTTCAGGGGTAACTAATGAGTACATACAGATGTGGATGAAAATTTTTTAACTCTATATCTACTTCCTGTCGGCCATTTTGAAGTCAAATGCTAAAATCCTTGTCTGCAAACTTAAAGAAAAACAGCTTCACAGTTGCTTTTAAAACGTTAATATCTTGTTCAGCTCACTTCATTCTACATCTGATTAGGTTTTGGACCTGTTAGCTCAGTCATGTCAGCCATTTTGAATATCTTAAGAAAAGTTAGCGCGCGATAATACTTTGTGTCATATTGAATGGTGTTTTTGAGTTTTCATACTTTAAATATTTTGTAGCTTTATAAATAATTTCAGGTGTACTTTGTTGTAAAAGCCTATGTTATTGTTAACAGTGGTTATATGTGACAATTTTGTAAAAGGAAATCAGCAAAAACTCATAATCACTTTTTTGTTGTCGGCCATTTTGGATTTTTCTGTCCTCAAATCTTATCTGTAAAGTCTTGTCTGCGCGTTTTCAGCTGAACCGTTTGGTAGATCAATTTCACATTTTCAGGGATGATTCTTAGTATGAAAATCTAGATCTGATTAGGTTTTTGGCGTTCTGGGTAAATGTCAAGGCAGCCATTTTGGATTTTCCATCCTAAAATCTTGTCTGTAAAGTCTTGTCTGCGCATTTTCAGCTGAACAGTTTGGTAGATCAATTTCACATTTTCAGGGATGATTCTTAGTATGAAAATCTAGATCTGATTAGTTTTTTGGCGTTCTGGGTAAATGTCAAGGCAGCCATTTTGGATTTTCCGTCTTAAAATCTTGTCTGTAAAGTCTTGTCTGCGCGTTTTCAGCTGAACCGTTTGGTAGATCAATTTCACATTTTCAGGGATGATTCTTAGTATGAAAATCTAGATCTGATTAGGTTTTTGGCGTTCTGGGTAAATGTCAAGGCAGCCATTTTGGATTTTCCGTCCTAAAATCCTGTCTGTAAAGTCTTGTCTGCGCATTTTCAGCTGAACAGTTTGGTAGATCAATTTCACATTTTCAGGGATGATTCTTAGTATGAAAATCTAGATCTGATTAGTTTTTTGGCATTCTAGATAAATGTCAAGGCAGCCATTTTGGATTTTCCGTCCTAAAATCTTGTCTGTAAAGTCTTGTCTGCGCGTTTTCAGCTGAACCGTTTGGTCGATCAATTTCAAATTTTCAGGGATGATTTTTAGTATGAAAATCTAGATCTGATTAGTTTTTTGGTGTTCTGAATATTCAGTCAAGGCAGCCATTTTGGATTTTCCGTCCTAAAATCTTGTCTGTAAAGTCTTGTCTTCGCGTTTTCAGCTGAACCGTTTGGTAGATCAATTTCACATTTTCAGGGATGATTCTTAGTATGAAAATCTAGATCTGATTAGGTTTTTGGCGTTCTGGGTAAATGTCAAGGCAGCCATTTTGGATTTTCTGTCCTAAAATCTTGTCTGTAAAGTCTTGTCTGCGCGTTTTCAGCTGAACCGTTTGGTAGATCAATTTCACATTTTCAGGGATGATTCTTAGTATGAAAATCTAGATCTGATTAGTTTTTTGGCGTTCTGCGTAAATGTCAAGGCAGCCATTTTGGATTTTCCGTCTTAAAATCTTGTCTGTAAAGTCTTGTCTGCGCATTTTCAGCTGAACTGTTTGGTCGATCAATTTCAAATTTTCAGGGATGATTCTTAGTATGAAAATCTAGATCTGATTAGTTTTTTGGCGTTCTGGATAAATGTCAAGGCAGCCATTTTGGATTTTCCGTCCTAAAATCTTGTCTATAATTTTTAGGTATGTTTTGTGGTATGAAATATAACACCTGATTGTTACATTTTTGGGAAGCTTGGTAGATTTTAAGGTTGCTGTCTTTAAAATCTTGTCTCTTCATTGGTGGGGACATGTTGTACACTTTTGTGTTCTTGTATATGTTTTGTTATTTATTTTATTGTTTCTGGTTTGCATGGTAACTTATCTGTTTGGATGTTTGTATTAATGGAAATTGACTGATGACTCAGTGATATCATTATTAAAAATACAACTAGTCTGTTGTTTGGAGAAACTTTGCAGTTGTTTTCATGTTAAAATGCAAAATATATCTAATAATGATAATCTGTTTATGATTGTTGTTTTTAATCGTTTTGACCGTTTTAAAGAAATTCTAATTAAACTCTGTTTTTTACCACTGTTGACATTTGGATATAATCCTTTATATAGTATTACTGCAGAATTAAATGTCATGTGTTAGGATATCACTTTAATAATATCAGGTATAATATTATGGCATCTAGGTTAATACAATTGGATAAAGGTGACAGTTGACAAGATTGCATCAAATGTAAGAATGTCAGCATATTATGACATAATATCAAGACACCATATCAAATCATGTATATTATGAATTCTTACTACATGTTTATTAGACTGGGGAATGGCAGATAAAAATATTTAAATTAAGTTTTAGTTTGAAGTTCAATATATTGACATCATATTATAACATCATATTGTGACACCATATCATGTCATTATTGATAGGGTGAATATAATAACAACATAATCACTCCATATTGTAACATCTTATGTTGACATCATATCATGATATCTTATTGCTACACGATATCATGACATCTTATTGCTACACGATATCATGTGATTTGAATTAAATAACAACGTTATTACCATATATTATAACATCTTATGTTTACATCATATCATGACACCATATATTATGATATAATATGCTGACATCATATTGTGACATTATATATTATGTTTTTCAGGTGGATGAAATCAGGGGGATGATAGATAAAATAGCGGCCAATGTAGACGAGGTCAAGAAAAAACACAGTGCCATCCTGTCCGCCCCCCAAACAGACGACAGTAAGTTGAACTTTCATGCATATTAGGGAGGTTAAGATTAGCGTAAAAATATACGTGTACCTATCCCTATTCGTATGTTTGTTACGGATGCGTATAGGTAATGCGTATTGCAAAATGAGTTTAAGATTAACGTAAAAAGCTACGAAACCGTATGCTACAATTTATGATAAAAATGACATCCTAATTATAGAATGAAAACCATGCGATGGCTTATATGGTATATACCAGTACATGTCACCTCCAAGAATGTTGTATACTTCAGAGAGATTGTGGTGTAGCTACTGTAGTTGGGAGGGGGTGTTGCTTGTGGGCCCCCTAATAAGACAGTGACTTAAGGCGAAATGTTAAATTTCTAGCATGATCCAGCAATGAGAGTGATCAAAATAGTAAAGTTAAACAATTCAAACCACGAGAAAATGGCTGATTTCATACATTTACAATAAGCAAAACTTATGAAGAATGTGTAAATTCAACAATTTCATGCATCATCACATGGCATCGTTTATCGCATCAATGAATGTGTTCGACCACTTAATTTCTATGTAGATCGAATAAGAAATGTTTGTTGTTACTATTTTAAAGTTTAATGGATGATATTTGATCTAGAAATGACATAATTTGTTGGATAAAAACATACGTTTTCGAATTACCTATCTTTGGCCATTTATAGGTAATTACGTATCGTAAACCCTGTAACTTAGGTAAAATACCGCTTAGTGTATAACAAACTACGTATAGGTATAGGTAAATGGGTTATTTACGCTAATCTTAAACTCCCTATTCTAACTATGCAGAGTCCTGATTGGGATTATTATCGCACTTTGACTTTGACTTTGACTTTTATCAATATGTCTTGTTTAAGACTACGGTAAATTTTCAAAATTTGATCAAAAGGAAAGGAGAGGATGATGTTTTGATGGGAAATCCAGATTAACATGAAGATTTCCTTCATACTGGAGAAAAATGGCAAATTTTGAGTGAATCTTGACTGAAGATAGATCACTTTCATCCATTTACAAGTATATATTCCTTTTAGAGAAAGAAATGTCATTTAGGTGGATTTAGGTGTTATTCTGTACATGCCCCACTAGTCTGAGAATGTTCTCAACTCAAGCAATATCATTCTGCTTCATACCCATGAGTATACCTATATTGCACTGAATACAAATCATTCCGCTGAAAAAGTGTCACGATAGTCACATTTTAAAATGAAAAATAGAGTATAATAGAGTGGATTGGGTGAGGAGTAATGTATACAGAGATGTAGGCGATGCTCCAAATTGTATAGATATGTCTGAAAATCTAATACTTTATTCAAATTTAAGAGAGATATTTAGTGAAATATACATGAACACAGAGAAATATTTTTGACGTTGTATTGACACCTTGAATAAGTAAATTCAAGCCATTCATTTCTCATTCTCTGTCAACCCAGTGAGTTTTATAAAAATGTTTGACAGCGAAAAAATGATGTTGAACTTCATATGAACTACTAAACAATCGAATGTTCATGCTTTTTCTTGGAAATTTATCGTATACTTCTAGAATAATTAAAATTATGACCCTTATGTTTTGTAAAGGAGGCAATAAATTGCTTGGTGTCTCATGGCTGCAATAAAATGGAATTTCAATTTGGAATCTGCTTTTTTATTGCACGTAAAAGACAGGAAAGCAGGCAAATGGTAGTTCTGTTATATGTTAATGAGACTCTACTAGAATTGTTCAGAAATGTCATTTTATGTTGGGTTTTGAAAATTCATTCCGAAATTCAATAAAAGCTGAAACAAGAAAGCCTGGATCCTGTTTGACAAAAATTATTTCATGGCCGGTTAAAAAATATAGAATAAAATGTCATACGTCCCAGAATTCCCAAGAGGGTAATAATAGATGAGCAAATGGCTAGACATTTGCGATATGTTCATTTAATTTGATAGACCATCTATCATGGGTTTACATTTTGGTGTCATCTTGGTCTGATTAGCTCGGCAGTAGAGACAGAGACATACATGAAGTTATCATTTTTACGTCACTGCCAAAAGTGGTGACATATTGTTATAGTCTCCAACATTTTTGTGAATGGTGTTTGAAGTTTGGTGTCTGTGACAATTTGCAATAACTTATAACGTGGTGACAAATTGTCATGTTAATGCTTTCATTTTTATGTCACCATCAGAAGTGACATTTTGTAATAGTCTCCAACTTTTTTGTGGATGGTGTTTGGCATCTGTAGCAGCGTCTGTTATAAATGGTGGTCAGCATCTGTAACAAATGGCAGGTGGTGACATTTTCCATGTTAATGACTTGTTATTGGTTGTTTGCCAACACATTTCCTTTTCTTAGCGGCACAGTTCCTGTTCCTACTAAAACATTTCTTATTCTTATTAACTCATTGCTGGAGGTTTTCTGCGGGTGACTGGCAATTTTAATGGGAAATTAAACAGAATTGCGTGTTTTCGCATTAGCATAAAATACACTGTATCAACACCCTATGTGCTAAGTTACATGCCATTTGTGAAGCCAATGACAAAATATTTCAATTGCACCCTACCCTGTTCACCTAGTGACCGCTAGAATATTTGGTAAGATAACTGGTACAGATTATGTGACAATTACTGGACAGCACCCCGAGATATCTCGGGGTTGGTCACATACAATTATGACGTCATATACGAAATATCTCGGGGTCGGTCAGCAATGAGTTAACACATTTCTTATTTTTATTGACATATTTCTCATTTTCACTAACACATTTCTCATTCTCGCTGACACATTTCCTATTCTTACTGACACATTTCCTATTCTTACTGACACATTTCCTGTTCCTACTGACACAATTCCTATTCTTACTGACACTTTTCTCATTTTACTGATACATTTTTAGTTCTCACTGACACATTTCTTATTTTACTGACATATTTCCTGTTCTCACTGACACATTTCTTTTTGACAAGTTTCCTTCAAAACATTTCTTGTTCTAACAACCATATTTGTCCCTCAGCTCTTTGTATACTTGTACTATACCAGTTGATCAATATGTGCAAAGAGCTTATGCATTAATAATGAGACTTCTATGCAGACAATAAAATCTGCAAGATATAGTAGCCAATTATCTTCTTGGAACAAGTGGTCAATGAATGTTCACAAGCATCTTAACCTGAAGACCTCCAAATACTCTGATGTTAAGGGCCTTGTATTGTTTTGTATTTTTTTGTTTACCACCAATGAAGGTGAGCAATATCTCTTGTTTATATCCTGTATATATACAGGCGTAATTATTAACATATGCAATCATGGAAGGCAGACCCAGGAATCCCTCCTTAAAGGATCCCTGTGTGTTCTTTCATGTGTACTCATACATATAAGTATACACCACAGCCTCAGGCCCGTAGCCAGGGGGGGGGGGGGTTCTATAGTTTAGAGCCAACTCCCCCTGGCCAAAATTTCTTTTAAAATCAGGCAGTTTTTCACCATTCTGAGCACTTTTTAAGTGATTTTGGCCATTTTTGGACCAAAATTGTCAAAAGTGAACCCCCCCTGGAATTTTCCAAAAAGTTAACCCCCCTTGGCAAATCCTGGCTACGGGCCTGAGCCTTTTGTATGAATTGTAGAACATCAGTCAAACAGACTCAGAGGTACTTTACGCAAACGAGCAAATTAAGCTTAATTCTCGAATTCAACTTACATCTGTCGGTTACCGGATTAACCTACTATTTTATGACCACCTCAATTAAATATAATTGGAATAGTGGCAGGTACTATTCATATTTAAATGAGTTGCCCATAAAAAAGCAGGTTAATCTGGTAGCCGACAGGCGTTAGTTGCATTTGCGAATACAAGCTTAGTCTTGCCTGAACCGGGGATTGAATCCGGGACCCGTTGCGTAAGAGGTACATGTGCTACTACTGAGCTATACGGGTGGACTATATACTAAACTGTAATAATAAATACCGTCTGACAAAAAATGTCAGCTGAATTCGCTGACTGCAGTTCTGATAAAGAAGCTTGATTTTAATCTTTCTAATCTGATTGTTGAGGGTAGCCCAAAACAGTGGCAATTTTCTCGAAATGGGTCCCTAAGAGAAGTGAGTATAGCCAATTTGTCCTTAACGGTGGTCAATGACTCCACAAGTGGCCTTGAAAATGATTTCAAAGAACTGCAGTTTGAGCCTACCCTTTTTAATATGTAGATTTTGCTTTTTTAGGTGAGTGTCATCTACTCAGAGTTCAAGATAATCATTTGATTTATTTAAATTCTTGAATAGACCCAAATTAAAGATGTTAGTGAAATTGTGAGGTGGCTAACCCATGGTTCATTTGCCACTTAGGGGTTCAGTTTAAATTTTTTTTAGGTGGGTGGTTCAAATTTGAAAAGTTTGGCCCCAAACCATTTGAAAAGTGCTCAAAATGGTGAAAATGGGTACAAAACAATTTTTGGCCAGGGGTTCACTCAAACCCCCTGAACCCCCTGGGTGGTCACATCGAAGGTTACATGGCTTTATTCAGTTGCTTCTCACTCCCCGTCCATAAGTGGTACTTTTAGGGGCTTTGCACATATTACAGTTGTCAGCAAAAATAGTTCCTGCAATTGATGGTCCCCAGTAGGATATAACTGAATATAAAAATGCTTGTCCTTTCTAGGAAATAGACAAGATGCACAATGTCACTGTGCTTAAGCTAATTTCATACTATGTTTGTCTGGAATATGAGTGCACGGGCGGATATCCTGACATTTCTATATAATTTAGAGTGTTCACCATATGCCCGATTATTTCCTTGCTTATTTCTCGCAATTTCTCTCTTAATTGAAAGAGCAGTCTGATTTCTGACATTTCCTTATAATTTAGAATTTACATGGCGGTCTAATCTCACTCTTGTTAATATCACTCGTTTCATTCTTTTCTACTCTATTTTACATTTGTAAACATGACAGCCATGAATCCTTTTTTGGTGAATAGTGTTTGGTGGTTGGTACTCAGTGGTCAGTATTTGGCAGTTGGCA